GGCCAAATAAATATTATAGAATTTATGAACTACACAGTCTCTACCACAGCTCTCAACTCTGCCTCTTGGAACCAGAAGTAATTTGTAAATAATAAGCATTGCTATGTATTTGTGTAGTGTATAAGCAGAACTATTTAGTAGATAACAGAATTGAGTAATTAATATGGGCTATCGAATAGGCCCTCAAGGATGCTGTGTCCTTGGGTTTAGTTTCACCTCTTTAGACCTCATCAATGAAATATGTTTATAAAATGACATTTTTCTCTGGTTTTTAATTAAGAAAATAGCTGGTAAATAGCTTTTGCTAACCCCTTAAACTGTTTAATGAAAATATTTGATAAAACTCTAAGATAAATATGCTATTGAGAATGGAATACGTTGTTTTTTTTCTTTTCTTTTCTTAGTCTTTATTTAAACCGACTTAGTGCCAAGATCTAGAGACAAGATAAATCTACTTTTGAGATATTTGTAATATTTCTAGCTTAGACCTTGATCCTAAAAGACAGAATTATAGTAACTGTTAAAATGAAATGTAGCTAGAAATATGATAAGTGCTGATATGTATCTCGGTCATCATGATTGCATAAAAAAGCAGGATTCAACTGTGAGCTATTTTTAAAATGTTCAAATATAAAGACAACAACAGGTAAAAATGATGAAAAAAGAAATACGGGTCTAAAACTCACTGTTGTTAGGATGTCCGTCCCTCTCAAATTAATGCACAGATTGAGCACAATTCCATGCATGATCCTACTGTGGCTTGTGAGGAATTTTGTTTTAAGAGATTTACAAGCTTGTAAGAACTGGGAATGCCAGTGAGCTAAAAGAGCCAAAATATCTTAGAAAAAGCAGGAAGAGAAGTTACTCTACCCGATTTCAATATAGTAATAAAGACAGTGTGGTATTGGCATTGAGATTGACATATAGATGTCAGCCAGAGAGTTTGTCTGTCTGTATGCCTGTCTGGATAGATACAGATTAAGTAATGGTAGCCTTTTCCATAAATGGTGGTAGATCAATTGAAATGTCATATACCAAAATAAAAGATTTTCAATGCATGTCTTACACATATGCAAAAATTAACTAAAAGCATTTCATAGAATTAAATGTTAACTATTGAACTATAAAACTTCTGTGTGCAAATATAGAACAAATCTTTGTGAATTGGGACTGGACAAAGATTTCTTAGGTACAACACTAAAGATTCACAAAAGAAGAAATTGATGGATTGCACTTCATCACAACTTTGGTTGGATTTTGCATATAAAATTTGCACATCCTATATGGGAAAATTAATTTTGCTTTAATACAAAGTTCTGGGAACTGAAGAAAACAGACCAATAAAAACTTGGTAAAAAATTGGAATACCATTATGTTAAGGAAGATATGTGAATAATTAATAAACACATGAAAAGATGCTCAACACCATTAGTCATTAGAGAAGTATAGATTAAAGCCACCTTAGGGTACCACGACACACCTATTAGAATTTTGTAATTTAAAAGACTGCCAAATATTAAGTAGGTTATAGATGGTACTGTTAGTTGATACTGTTATCCACTACTAGTGGGAAAATAAAACCACTTTGGAAGCAGTTTGATAATTTCTTTAAAAGTTAAAACATTTATCATATGATCCAGCTGTTCTTTTCCTAGATATTTACCTGAGGTATGAAAGCACATATTTATATAAAGATTTTTAACTATTTACAACATTTAAAAATAATAGTGAAGGAAAAAAACCTGGAAATAATTAGAATAATTAGAATGTCGACAGGTTAATGCATACAACAATTAAGGTATATCATTGCACTTTCACACTGTACAGTACGCACAGAGCAGCACAACTGTGACAGCGTCCAGCAGACAAGTGAGCTACTTCTGCAATTTGTCCGTATCAATGAATGTTCCTAATGCGAGGTCCATTCATATCCGTGAAAGTTCACAACTCAAGTGTTTGTCAGTTAGGGAGTTACTAATTTTTATTTAAGAAATATTGTTTCTTAATGAATATAGATTTTTCTGCATAGATTTCCTTCAAACAGCACAATTGTGACATTGTGGTCTTAAATCTGTTTAGAAATTTTTTGAGAAACTGCTTTCTGTGCAATTCTATTTGATTATTTTCTTATTTATTAAATAAGGTATATTTTCTGGTTCTGAGTAACATTAATACCATTTACCAAGTTTTGATGGAATTCATATTCATCCTACAGTTTTATACGTGTTAAAAGTGTAGATGTTTTGGGAGTCAAGCCCCAAAGGTATTTTCATTCTAAGGCTGATAGTGTGATGAGACTTAACTAAAAATGCATTAGTGTAAAATGTTTTAAAACTTTATATCATTTATTTCTCCTCAATCTTTTCTTTACAAGTAACTATAGACAGTAATCAGAATGTTGGCAGCAAATGAAGTCAGATTGCCTTCTCTAGATTCCCATATCTAGCCAGGTGTGGTGGCACACACACCTGTAATCCCAGCACTGGAGAGCCTGAGGCAGGAGAATCTCTGAGTTCAAGGCAAACCTGGGATACATAGTGACTTCAAGGTCAGCCTGCACTACAAAGCAAAGCCTTGTCTCAAACAAACAGGAAGCAAAAGGGAAAAAAATAAATTCCCATATCTAACTGCTGAGATTACGGGTGTGCACCACCATGCCTAGCTGCATCAAGAATCTTTCCTTAAGAAGTCACTATATTTTTAAAATAGTGGTTATAAATAAGAGGAGGGATAGAGCTATTATGAAATGGTATTTCATGAGGTGGAAGACTTTACCAATATTGTTAATATTTTATATGGTATTGACTATCCAATTAATTTGTATACTTTTTCATGTTTTGATTATTTTTAATTATCAAAAATCTCTCTGTGAAATACAAAAAAAAACCTTCCCATGAATTAGCTTAACATATAAAGTATCTCAGATTTTTATTTCAAAGGACACTTACTCTTCTAAGGACACTCTACGTTCTAATTACGTTCTAATTCTTAGCTTGCTTAGGAGCTGCTAGTCAGAATATCATTTCTTTTTTGCCATTGTAGTCATGTAATATGGCACAAAGTTTCAGGTTTGTAGTATGTGTGGTAGGTGGATAGCAGATGTCACAAGCTGTCTGGCTCAGGGTTGAACCTGGCCCTGAGAAGTACTTTGATCTGCACAGTATTTGTCTTCATCATGACTTGCATTTTTGTAAAAATTAACAAATTTTGTAAGATTGCATGACAACAATCACTTGGAGCTAAGTGGTCCCAGTTTTCCATACTCTTTGTGTTCCCTAATACTGATGTTAAATCATTTACTATTTATCATCATAACTGTGTTAACTACTTGTCACCTATAAGCATTTTAATTTATGATGGTTAGATTGTATCCAGTGGATGTTACAGTCTTCTCTTGGTACTTGGCTGTGATATTTTAATTTGTTTTCATGTATTTTCAATACTTTACAAAGCATGCTTACATACATTCTCCCTGTCAAAACACAGTGTAAAGTACTCTTTGTCATTTCCTCCTCTCATATCCAGACTTTTTATTTAATCAATGAAATATTTTTGAAATGTGATTCCTCCTGTCAACCCTTTCTGCTACTACTATAGCTTAGGCCCCCATCATCTCATTTGGACCTGTTTAATTGCCATCTACCTGATCTCTTTGCCTGTAGTCACATTCCTTTTGATTCATCCTCAGACATATTGCTAGAATGATATATCAAAAGTGCAGATCAAATCATCTCTCTCTATAAATTCTTCATCTTCTGTGTCAGAGATTGACGAACTTTTTCTTAAAGACTCACATAGTGGTTATTTTAGTCTTTGTTGATTGTAAGGTTCGTGCTACAAATACTCTATTATTGAGTTGAGTGCAAAAGCTCCTATAGACAATATGTAAACAAAGATCAAGGATAAGTTTCAATAAATTACAAAACCAGCCTGCTGGGCCAGGGCTATAGTTTGTTAACCTCTGTTCTGTGATAAAAAGCTCTCATTGTCTTCTCACTTGTCACATCTGCCACTCTCATCTTGTTTCTTACAGTTTTCTTGGAAGCACCATTCAAATTCTTAAATTTCTTGTAAATACAGCATATTCTTTCTATATTCAGTTATTTAAATCAGACATTTCACAATAGCAAAATAGTCAAATATATTGCATGTTAATTCTGAAATTATTATCTTTATGTTGTTTAGTTTATTTAGGTTATTTATCTAGTTTCTTGCTGACATCTTTATAAATATATAGTAAATAGTCTTAGCTTCTGAGACTTAAAAAGATCTGTTTTTGACAGACCTTTCAGAAAAGTGATAACCTTGATACAATGTTATAGTTTGGATACCATTAATAATACATCATCTGAAAAATCTCAGAATGAGGTTTCTGGTAGGAAATAGTTTAGTTTCAACCTTTTCGACCACATTAAATCAAGGTTCACTAAGAGAGTTTTAGGACAGTTAGTGGAAACTAAAACGTGTAAGTTACGTTGTATTCTATCTTCCTCACCATTGCTTCTTTTAAATTCAGTTAGAAAAGCAGAAACTATTTGGTGTTAGGTTTGACTTACCTGAGGTAAGAGACTTCAAGTTGCTACTGTATTTAAATTCTAATAGATCACTCACATTTTTCCACATACAAATAAAAATAATTACTTCAGAATGTGTTAGTGTATTGTTACCTCTATTGTTAAATCAGCAGTTACTTAATGTTATTACTGATCGGAATAATGTTGTATAGAAAATAAACTCTTCCATTAAAGAAAAGAACTTCATTATTTAATCATATTTGGTGAAAAATATGATTTGACAGTGGTTAACAGTAGATTGTTAGTACTGCTGTATGGAATTTTAAGGTTAAATTATTAATATTGATTGTGATAAAGTTCTCTAAATTTTTCATGCATAACAATGCATTAATTTAAAGCTCCAGTGCTTGCTTCGGCAGCACATATACTTATTTAAAGTTCCACTTATTAGAACTGACCTATAAATGTTTTATGATTGATTTTTAGCCACCAGCTGAACAGGCCAAAGCCAGACTACAATTAGTTCTTGAAGCTGCTGGTAAGTGTTGATATGCTTTTATTAAATGAAAAAGTGAATCCTAGGCTTGTACACACAGGTGAGTCAAAGAAAAAATTCCTATTTTTATTAATCCTCAAAAATTTGTAAAATATGGATGATATCATATATTACCTGAAATATGTATTATTGTGGTATAATGCTAAATGATCATTCTTTATGTTTTTTCATTCTTTATCTTTTTATTGATAAATTTATTTTAAGTTTTTGTTTTGATGAAGTCAAATTTAATGATTTTATCTTTTATGGGCTGTGCTTTTGGTGGCATGTATTTTTTGACTCAACCTACATGATTTTCTTCTATGTTTTCTTCTTTATAGTTTTACATTTTGTATTTAAGACTGTGATCCATGGTTATCTTTTGTAGAAGGTATAATAATGAGGTTAAGGTTTTCCTTGTTTTAGGGGAAGTGAATTCAGTGTCAATAATAATTCCTTTAGTTACTTTGGACTAACTCTTTGGGCTGTATGTTCTACATACCACCTAATCTTTTTTTTTTTTTGGTATTGGGGAATTGAACTCAGGACCTTGTGTTTGTGGGGCAGGCACAGCGCCGCTGAGCTAAATCCTCGGGCCTCATACCACCTAATCTTAAAATGCTACAGCTTTTATTTCACAGAGGTACAGTAATGGTATGTCCTTGATTTTAGATATGTTCAGCTTCATGTAGGCATTAATTTACCTGTTAAAAATGTCTAAGATCCAAATTTTATTTTATTTAATTTTTTAATTTTTTTCCTTAAATTCTTTTATTGGTACATTTTAGGTATACAGTACATTTACATTTATCATTGGGAACTTGTACCTTTACATGATGTATCTTGGTTCTTATTTTTTCCCCCTTTCCTGCCCTCCCTTTACCCTCTCCACCCTTCCCTATTTATAAAGACTTGGTTTCCTTTTTTTCCATTTCCCATAATTTTTCCTTTCCCTTCTTTCCTTTCCCCTACCCCTCCTACTTCCAAATTTTATTTTTTAGATACTGATATTTTACTTTGAATTTTAATGTGCTTTTTTTTTTCTAATGTGCTTTTAAAAATATGTGTAACTCAGGGCTGGGGATTTAGCTCAGTGGTTCCACCATCTGCCTCGCAAGCCTGAGTTCGATCCCCAGTACCAAACAACAACAACAACAACAACAACAACAACAAATATATATATATATATGTATGTATGTGTGTGTGTATGTGTGTGTGTGTGTACCTTATTCAAATAATAAGTTGTCAGGAGTAGGACATATTTCTTAAAATTATGTGCTTTTGAAGATTTACAAAGGGATAATTTTCAGCTGGAAAAAAATGAGGATTTTGTTTTAACCTCAAAGCTAATTTCAGACCATCAGCACTCAGTTCTGAGTGTCTATTGAGAAATACATGTGTGCCTGTTGACTCAAGCATTTCTTGCATTAGTTCTTTATATCCCCAAAGTATTCATAATCTAAAGATTGGGAGCACCAGTATGAATGATATACTACTTTCCTGAATCACTAATATAAGTAACTTATCATGTAGTTGTAAAAAGTAATATGTATTTCAATTATGACTTTGAATTTTTGTAAATCTTCAATATAGCTTTAAATACTACTTATATTTTAAGTGTGTTGCTTGTTCATTTCATCTTTAATTGCATAGAAAACATGATTTATTAATTTTCATAACCATTGCGTTTTTCATATTTTAACTCAAATGAATTTGCTATAAAGTTATATGTTTCTCATTTACATAATTTGCATTCACTCTTCAATAGCATTTTGCATTGAAAAAATATTTCCAGTTCATAATTTGAATGTTAACAAACTAACTCTTTAAAGGAAAACATTTATGCTGCCTAGCCAAGGAGATGTTTCAATGAATACAATTTAAATAATTTGATTTCAGTTTTATAGTTTTCATTCTTTTAATATGACTTTGAAGCAAATTATAAAATGTCTAGTAGTCCTCAGAATATATAGCTTTCTTATATCTCTTCTAGTTGTCATCTTTTTTTTTTAAATTTAAAATTCTAAATTATAGAAAGGGTAAAGAGTAGGTTCTATAATTTGACATTCAAACTTAATGACAGTTTTCAAATTAAAAACTTATTTTGGCCTTGATAAGCAAGGGATAAGCCTTAGTTAAATAAGTAGCATTGTTTAGTCATCTACTTGTTATTTAAACATTCACCTCCAGCATTTTTTTCTTACCGGTATCAATATAATGAACATCTTATACACTGTGCTTTCCATATTTTAGATTATTTTCTTGACATTGATTACTATAGAAATGAGTTTATGAGGTTAGAGAGCATTAATATTTAGAATCCCTTTTATGCATTTGTACTAAATTGTTTTATGAAAACATTGTGCTACTTTTCATTTCCACTAGTTGAGTAATTGTTTTTACCAGACTTTGCTTTTAGATACTATTTCCATAAATATATTGTTTTATATTATGATATAATATATTATACCCCTTTGAAAAACCTCCAGTATGTTTTTTTATGAGAACTTAACTGTTTTGGAAAGAGGAAGCAAATGGATGGACATAGTGGGAATATAGAGATAGAGCTCAAATATAGAACTCAAGTTTCTAGGTTCGATTTTTCTGTTTTCTCTAAATTCAAGGTGTTCATTGCATTATTAAAACTAAACATATAAATAAAATAAAGGGGAGAGAAGATAAGAACAATATGAGTTCATCCTGGTAAGACTTGCAGTTAGTCTAGCCTCATTCTAAAACTGAAATAAGGGGATAATAAGATCTGGCAGCATCTTTTGTCACATTTGAGTTCACTTAAATTTCCAGGGCATATACCTAGAACTTTTGGACTTGAAAAATGAATACAAGGTAGCCTAATCTATATTCTTTAGGCCATGTTTATTTTTAGCCTTATAGTTGCCAAAACTTAGGAGATAGTGTTCATATTTAGAAATTCTACTGATTAGACTTAGTCTTTTACCCTAGAATGAGTTCCAGAAGACATACTGCATTGTCATGATTATATTGGTAAACATCAATAATACCATCAATTTGGAATTAAACTATATTTAGAACATTTAGTCATGATTATTAGAGATCTAATTTTTGAAAGATATATGTGTGAGCAAAGTAACATTAAATAAAATGCACCTGCATTGTGTCATATATATGTAATCAAAACTGAATTTGAAGTCTGAATTTTTGTGTATGTTATGATCATATTTCATAAGCACAAAATTATCACATAGTTATACTTTCAAAACTTTGAAATTTCAATCTTTAATTCCTTTGTAGCCAGTAATTCACCCATACTTAATTATTTCCAATTTTGAAGTCATTTTCATATATCTTTTTCTTGTCTTTCCAATTGTCATCCCTTCCTCTCTTCTTCCTACTCTTTCCCTCTTTCTCTTGGGTCCCTTTCATTTAGTCTTTTTGGAATACATCCAGATTATAGTGTGTCAGTTGTTTGTTCCTTTTTATGGCTGAATAAATAATATTATATGTCATATGTAGTTTGATTATCCTCTTATTCATTAATGGAAATTTGGGCTCTTTCCACCTTTTGGGTATTGTGAATAGTGTTACTGTGGATATACATATCCATCTATTTGTTTGAATACCTGTTTGCAGGCTCTGTTAGGTGCATATTTAGGGGAATAATTGTGAAATCATTTGATAATTTTATATTTAATTTTTTTTTACAAAATCACCAAACCATAAATACTAAAAACAGGTAATTTAAATGTGTGACATGATATAGCTGAGACAATAGGGAACTATTTTGTTCCTAAAATGGTTCAGTTACTATGGAAAATGGTTGGGTGAGCTGACTTTACACTTTAACTTTAATGATGACAAGAAAGCTAATGTAAAGAGATTATTATAAAGGAGGAAGAAGGAAGATAATAGGTTCAGGTAAGGACATGTCTCCATCACTTTTGCTTTCATTGGTAATGACTGGATAGTACCAATCCAAATATTATCTGGGATTTCTGCAAAAAATGTGCTATCATTTTATGCCAAGGATATTCATAGGTCTGAAGAAAAATTTGGAGAAGAGACTTTTTCCCAAAAGACAAATACTTTTAATAAGCATTAGAAGAAAATACTTCGTATATAATTGTAATACAAAATTTTCTTCAGAGTCTCCTTAAAATTTTACTTTTACTAGAATTGATACATGTAACCTTTAAAATTATATTTCTAATATAAGAAAAATTGAAATTTCTTTTTGTTCATGTACTATAAAACAGCTTATCTTAAAATCTTTGGGTACTATTATTTCATTTTCTGAATAATATCTACAGTCTTTTGTATTACATCTAAAAGTTTTCAAAGCACTTTCAAAAATCTTTTATACTATGATTCATAGCACTGCACAGAGAACTAATTAACTCCACTTTACAAATATCCTGAAAATGTAAATGACTTGTAAAAGATTACACAGCTAATCAGTGGCAGAACCAGGATACAAATTCACTGATTTCTGACTCAAGTTGTTTCTGTTCATTGTTTAAATCTTTTTTAGTTATGTTGGACAGAAAGAAGTACAATATGAAAAATATTATGAAACACATACTTTAGATTGTTAAGTTTAGTTCTGCACTTACCTCACAATACAATAATGTCTATCTTCACGTAAGTCTGTGATTCTAAAGTAAGCTTTTTAAAATTGATAATGTAAAAGGATTAAAATTTCATTCTGGAAAGATGTTTTTTCCTTAACTATGTAAAGTGTACATAGAGTGAAAGTTATGTAATAGCTAACTTTATACCTTTGAAAATCTAGGATAATGTTTTATGATCACTTATGTTTTTGTCTTAAATGTAACTATGGACGTGCATTTCATTACTCTTTCTTAGAAGCTAGTTAAGAATTGTAAAAGCTGATTAATTATAAGCATATGCATGCTACATGAGGGAATATGCTATGAATGTTTCATTCTATCCCAGTTCTTTCGCAGCATGTTAAATTGAGATTTTATTCTCTTAGTTACCCATTAAGTACCTTGAAGCCAAGG